CTGTGCAACAGATTTCATAAAAAAAAATATTTCCAGAAGGGTTGATATTTGCTTACTTTTATAGTTCATGATTCAGAAAAGCCAATACTGTCTATGAAAAATTTATAAAATCTGGCAAGAGGATTTCATCAACCATGATTTTGGCACAAGGTATTAATCACTACAAAGATTAAAGATTTGTTTTGTTCAAATAATTATTTTCTTTAACTACTTTTTCCTAGCATAAACTGAGTAGTGATGACTGTTTTGCCAAATAGATGCCCTATCAGGAAAGACAAGGTTATCAATAGAAAGATCAGTACAGATTTATTATCTGTCTCCTGGAGATGGAAGAATAACATAAGCCAACCAGTCGTGGGTACAACAGAGGAAACCATAAACTCAAATGGCATGGAGGACACAAACAATATAGTTTGACTAATAATGAGTAGACTAAACAAAGCCACAATCCTGCTCACCGTGGGTGATACAACCGAGAAGAAGAAAGAAATGAAGGAACCCAACACCCCCCACAAAGCCATCCTGGGGGAAATACCAGATGAGAACATATTTAGATATTACCTTGATCATTCAGAGATAGTCAGAGGGTCCTTCCTAAGGAAACTCTGCCTGGTGCATCCACCAGCAGATGATGACTACCTCTGCAAGCAGGGCCTGCTTAAATCTTTTCTCTTAACAAGCAAGACACCTGCTGTTGGTCACCCAATTTGCTTTCATCCATGTTTGGCCAGGTCCTGGGCGAAAGTGAATAGAAATGTTTTGGTACTCTTCCAGCCTTTCCCTGAACTGCTGATAGCTTTCTCACACAACCAGTCTCAATTGTCTCTGCAGAGAAGGGAATTGCCCATGTATCAAACCCCAATTCCAAACACTTCACTCAGCCCCCTGACACATGGATAAACCACAACCCTCATGCTGCTTCAGGGGTATACTTGGTCTGGCCTCCATTTCTGGCCCTCTCACCACATAGTGTGCCATCCCTCACACCAAGGTCTGGGATGGCATGTGTCCCCACCACTCAGCACCTACTGGGTTGCAGTGGGCAGCAGAGCTAGGAGTTCTTCTTGGTGGCCAACACAGAGGCCAATCCAGTCTTGCCCTTGTTAACGAGGAGGTACCTGGCCAGGCTTAATCCCCTCACCTGGTTGTGGAGTTTATCCATGTGTCAAATTCAGTTCGGGCTTAGGGTTTAGGGCCCATCGTCTCAATGACTGAACTTTTATTTTCATGATTTGGTAGATGAATTTCACTATCAATTCCAGTTTGGTTGGGGTTTGTGTGTTTGGCTTCTGACAGTGAAAATTGAACTGGTCAGAGAAAGTAATTTTCACTACCAATGCAATGTATAGTATACATAAGAACAAACTGTGATATCTCCTTAAGATGCTGTACTGCTCTTTCATAAATCTTTAGCTTATCACATAGCAGAATGCTACTTCAAAGGGGAAAGAGCCCTTTGAATCTTAGGAGACAGAGTTCTGAATTTAATTCCTGGAGTGAGTAGGCTCCTTAGGCATTTATTGTGAGGTCTGCAGAGCCAAGAGGAAAGACTGTAATGGCAGAGAAAATGACCTAAAAAAATACTTCAGTCTTTTACCATTGGTTTAAAAAAAAATAAATTCACAATTTCATTCCACTGGAACAAGAATTTATAAGCTAATACCTCCTACTGCTAGAAGCTAATAACTTGTCCTGCAAGGTTAACCTTTTTGTCCCTCCAGCAGAAAGTATATCGTTACCCAGATCACATTTTTGTGCTTTGCTTCTCTGATGTCAGTGTTAGCAGCTTCCAGGAATAACTCATAGCTAGCAAGTGATTAAACGTGAAGTTTTGCATTTGAGTTATTTTTACACTTAAAAAGAAAAGAAATAATAAAAAAAATATTATCCTATCTTTTCCCTCCCATCTTCTTGATGTTATGACATGAATTTGGATGTATCATTGGCCACTGTCTCTTCAGTCAAAAGTGATTGAAAGAGGAAAAATAAAATTCTTCCTTTCCTAAAATACAGGTTTAAAATGAAATCAGCATTTGATTAACTTTTTTTCTGAGGTACTCAACCAAACAGATTCATGTTTTTAAAAGAGAATCCCTTCCATAAACAAGCAGGCAGCTCAGACTGAGCAGAGAGCTCTTGTGACTCCCAGCAGCTATCATCTGACATATTTCTTCTGCTCCTATTCTATGCCCAAGGCAGATCTTTTTAGAGGCTAATAGGCTCTGGGTTTTTTTCTGCCTCTTTGCTATACCAATGCTTTGTATTTTCTCAGTACAGGTTTTTAAGCAAGATTCTTAACGCAAGCAGGTTCAGAGATCACAAAATAAAGATATTCAATCGGTATTTTAGTGCTCATAGTAAGACTGATTTTCTTCCTCAATTTGGTGGTCATCACAGAAAAGGAAGATTCCTGAATCTGTGTGGAGTTCAGTCTTAAAAACAGTTACTAGAGTTCAGTCATATAATTAATATCAAAGATTTATTTGTCCATTAAATTATTACGTACGTACTACACTGAGAGATATAGTAAATTTATTAAATATTATTCAGAAATTCTAGGAGAAGGCTCAAGAACAAGGACTCAGATTTACCTGGTTTTGGCAAACTCATAAGCTAGGAGGTTAATTTTACTTTTAAAATACTTCTAGAATAGAGTAAACTGAGAATTTAAAAGCTGTTCTGAGAACACACAGAAAGCCTGCTTTCTTATTTCTTGCACCTGCTTTAGAAAAACTGAGTACAGTTCTTTAGCTTGATAATAAATTAAGATCAGACATAGAATTTTACTTGGGAATCCATAGGCCTGAAGCGAATCTACATTTCTAAGTAATTTCCCAAGTAATTATTTGTAAATGAGTGCCTGGGGTTGAACCAGATGTTGACTCATTAGCTTTAACACTGTAATATGGAGAGAAAAAAGCACAAACAAACAAAAAGAAGGAACAATAATGAAAAAAGAAAGATGAGCTTATGCAGTACAATATTTACTTGCATTGACTGTTTTCTTTGCAATAGATGGAATAGAATTTCCATTATATAAATCAGCTGACACACAGAAAAGTCTACTGTAACATTTGAGGGTGTGTATTTATTACAGGTTTTGCTATCGCTTTCTCTATTCATCACTTGTTTTTTTTTAGTAAGTGTGGTTTTGGGAGAAGTTGGAGAGGAATACAGCCATTATCAGCATGAATCCTTTTTCAAAAATCTATAAACATAAATTAGACACATGAGTTTCCCTTTTAGACTAGTCGGATGTTAAGGGAAATCTTGAAATGATTCATAACTTACAAACTGGCAGGTAAAGCTGAAGTGTTGAGTGAAGGTCTAACTGAAGGATGGAAAGCAGATAGCCAAAGTATTAAAAAGAAAACTTCTTTGTGCCACTTCATCTTTTACTTTCTGCATCCTTTTGATTTTTAGTACTATAAATTCTCCAGTTTTTCAAACTACTGCTGAAGGGCTCATCTGTCTAGAGACAATCAGGAAAATTAGTCTGAATGGAATTTTAAACTGGATTAGCTATACTACATTAAATCCCTATGTAAATACACTTCTACAGAATTAAAATTTATTTTATTTAATATTCTTTGAAAGTGAGTTAAAGCAAATCAAATTAAGGTCTCTTTAATATTGTTTGAGAATGTCCATCCCATTACTTCAAAGTAATAAAACCACCTCACCTAAAATTTAAACCTTTTGTTGTTTTGGACGACTTTTCTTGATCAGGTCCACAGACAAGCCACCTCACAATTTTTGCTACCATTTGCAACCCTTTTGAGTATGACCTTATTTGATTTCTGTAACTAAAATCTGTGTTTTTATTAAGCTTTTTCCTTTATCACCTGGTGTAAGAGATTTTACATTAAAAAAGAACTACAGAATGTTTTCCGTTTTCCCTTCCCTTAAGGTTTCATTTTAAGCAGATTGGGGACCAGCTTATTCAGCTTTGAAAAATAGCTCTTATTTCTTCTTCTCAGAGTCAGTGTTTTTCTGTGGTAAGCAGCTAGGAAAATGTTAGTGTGTTGAAATCTTGGGGCTGTTTGGAGTCAACGTTTGGAGGCTGACCTACCTTCCACATTTAACCACGTAGCATTTCCACATCTTTTCCACAGTATAAAATGAAAAGGTAATTTGTTATTGATGAACATGCTAGTCATCTCAGGTTAGCAGCAGAGTAGTAATGTAGTATGTGTACGTATTTACAGAAGCTGGGTGTGACAGCATAGCTACCATCCCTGAAGGCAAGTAGAATTCAATGCCTCCTACAAGCAGATTGCTATTCTCTTGAGTCTCATGGCTAAAAAAAGAAAATGCGTAGCCTTTGGAGAACACATGTTGCAAAGCATGTAATTTAATGCATTTCTTGACAGAGGTAAGCACCCGAGTTTGTTCTGAATGACTAATTCCCCTGTGTGTAGACCCCAAACACATCTAAACACGGTAACAAGATGACAAATATATTGCCTGTTTGGTTCAATGGAAAATGGTTTTGCCAATGAGATTTTGTGGCAGCCACGGATAATGCCAAGACTTTATTAAGGCTCAGATTTTGAAAGCAAAAGCAAGCAAAGCCTACAATATTTCATTCTAATATCTTGCATTATGATTGATGGTGGAATAAACAACTGTGTGGGTGTTGTGGTGGTAGGTTGTGGTGGTAAGAGAGAGGGACAGATGTGCTTCCCAAAGGATGCAGCTGTCTGTACTTCAGATATGGTGCTTTGTGTCAATCACAGGCCCTAGAGTGACAAGAGTGTGGAATAAGCTTACACTTCTGGAAGCATAACTGCATGTTCTTAAGAAACATCCTCTCAGTGCTCACTTGGACCAGATCGTGAACTGATTATCAGGCCAAACCCATTATTTAAATAAGGACAGAAACAGACAAAAATATTCAGAAATGCATTTGTTACTTCTCTGTGGTTCCTTTTTGTGCAATAAAGTATCATGTAAGTTGCGACTTACCACTGGTTTTGTTTTTCCCTCTTTTACTGCAGTTTATTATGCTGACATACATCTTTATGTTAGCCTGGCTTGGAGTTACAGCTTTCACTTCTCTGCCTGTTTACATGTACTTCAATCTGTGGACCATTTGCCGAAATGCCACTGTAGTGGATGGAGCTAATCTCTGCTTGGATCTTCGCCAGTATGGTGCGTGAATGAAGAGCACAAATAGAGCAAGATTCCACAAAAGAAAGCATCACATTGCTTTGCTTCTATGTATCTGAAATGAATTGTTTCAATATTTCTAAAACAATGGTTAAGCATCTTTCTATCCTTCTGCCCACTAGTCAAGGCAGTATATTAGAGGGGCTCCTGGTTAATCTTTTCTTTTGCAGGAATTGCAGGAAGTTTTCTCAAATGCTTAATTAGTCGTTTATCTGAAGAACTAATATCTCTTTAATCGTGTAGCAGGACACCAATTTTGAGATGAAAGATCTTAGGTTATCATCTCTCTCTGCAGAGGTGAATTGGGACAGGACAAGATTTATTACTTGCAACAATTTTGATGAAGAGTGACAGTACAATTAGTAACACTCTAAGAGGCTGCTGGAGAGAGAGAGAGGGGCTAAAGCCTCAACCATGGAAGTTAGAATAAACAGGTGATATAGACTTAGGGGGTGGGAAATTTGGACAAAAGGGGTTTCGTAATCTTAAAATGTCTGAGAATGCTTTTGGCAATGATAATTCATTTCCTTTCTGCCACAAAACTGATTTGAATCGAGGTGTTTTGGCCTCCGTGGCCTCTCAGCTCACAGAGCTTTGGGTAATCATACTCTCATCAGGCAGTTCCTTCTGTCTTTCTTTTGTTGCCTGCTAACATAAAATTGCAGTATATTTTGAATAGTTATTTTAAGATGTAAAAAATGCTGTATTACTTGGGAATGAAACAGTTTGGTTCATATTAAGCATTTCACTTAACCTCAAACAAAATATTTCACATTATTGTTTTCATAAGGGTGAATTTTTAAAAAAAAAAATTTCCCCCCTCACCCCTCTGATGTGACAGGTGAGTTGAGAAAGCAATTATCTGTACAGATCTCATCAATAATATTAATTCTTCTTTCTATGACCTTTTGGTTTGCCAACATTCTTGCCTTTTTTATTATTAATTCTATTTAAAACACTCATAGAACACAAACATATCAAATGTGTATTCTGTGAACATACCTGTTTCCTGTAAATTCAGTGTAAAAACTGCTGATTAGTAATAGGAAAGAACAATACCATTTTTTATTGTGACAGAGCTATAGCAGTTTTCTTCAAGCTAGTCTTTGATTTAGCATAGGGACATTAGCTAAAGGAAACAAGCTAGCAGATGCTAGTTATCTTAGATAACTAACAGATAATTAGATACACACATTTGGGTAATACTTTTTTATAACATGAATGAAGCTTCATATCATATCAGCATGATATGATAGAATCATATCTCATCAAAGAATCAAATAGAGAATGTTTGTGAGCTTTATATGTGATTATTATGCTGATCAAAATCTGGAATGAGGATATTTTTTTAAAATGTCTGAAAAATTATTACCTGCAGAGGTGATGTGTTAGTTTTGTGATGGCTGAAATGATCACAGAATCATAGTTTGGGTTGGAAGGGACCAACCTCCCACTAGACCAGGTTGCCCCATCCAACATGGCCTTGAACCCTTTCAGGGAGGGGGCATCCACAGCTTCCCTGGGAAACCTGTCCCAGTGCCTCACCACCCTCACAGTGAAGGCTGGTATTCTTCCTAATATCTACTCTAAATTTAACTTCTTTCATTTTGAAACCATTACCCCTCATCCTATCCTGCTAGAGGTGTCCCTGGAGCCTTCCCTTCTCTAACTTTCTCTGCCTGTCCTCACATGGGAGGTGCTCCAGTCCCCCTGTCAACAATAAAAACATGATTTGGTTGTTAAAAAGAGTTCTGAAAAGCAGACAAGAATTTGTATTTCTCATTTTTTTATCTCATGTGCAGTAAGCTGCTATGTAGTAGGAATACTAAATACTGTGAATATTTATTCTGCTCCAGGTATTGTAACTATTGGAGAGGAAAAGAAGGTTTGCACCACATCAGAAAGTTTCATCAAGATGTGTGACTCTAATGAGGTGAATAAATGTGATAATATTTTTGGCAAATCCATAATGTGTGTTACAGTGGGAAGTAACTGATGCATATTTTCTTCTTACTCTTAATGTTCTGATTCTAGCTATGATGAAGAAATAAAATCCACGTGGAAAGTACAGTCAGCAAGTATTTTTCCTAGTCTTTTGCTGTGTATTCAATTTAATCTGTGCAATTTCTCTAGCCATTTGTTATCTAAATACACTTGGGTTTTTTTGGTGTTTCTTTGTTTTTTTTTTTTTAAATAATTCCATTGTCATATATATTGTTACTGAGATGTTTTTGAAAGCTAATGCATCTGCTACACAATGAAGAAGTCTATGTCATGAATCACTATTTGAAGATCTTATGATTACTGTTTTGACAGGAGAGTGAAGACTTCAAATGGATTTCCCCAAACCTTGTAGTGTGTTAGGAGGATAACTCCTAGTACACTTTTCTTTCTTGTTTCTCCTTTAGGTGAAGGCCATCTATTTTAGTGCAGCTGGGGTTTCTGGTTTTGGTTTTAAATTATCAGGGATGAAGACCGGACAAACAAAATGATGTTTATCTAAAAAAAAAAGAGAGGCTATAATCTTGATCTCTGAGGTCAGAAGGTGCTTTGCTAAATGTTTCACTGAGTCTTATGATGTTTGAATAAATCTTGTGAGAGTGAAGGTACACAATTTGCCTTTATGCCAAAACCATCTATGAAAATAGAGCCCTTGCTGTGCAGTCATCACTCAGTGGCTGATGTGTAAACCAGATCACCTAAATGAAAAAGAAATGTAACTATTTTTGGGGTGGGGTGAGGAAGGTGGCTAACTTGGATTATTTAAGTAACTTGGTTTATATCACATCACTAGGAACAAATTTTATTGGCAAATTTGGGATGGGAGTATATCCATATCTGGGGATGGAAAGCTACAGCTGATAAAGGCAATAGGGATTTTCTTATGCTGTCTCTGCCACGAGAGAAACCACCACAAACATTTGTAGGTCTGTGTTGTGGTTTAACTGGAGTTGGTAATTAGGCATCACCCAGTTGCTCGCTCACTCCTCCCCCACCCCTGGTGGGATAGGAAGGAGAACAGGGAGAAAAAAGTAAAATCCCACAGGCTGAGATAAGGAGAGCTTAATAGAACAACATAAAGAGAAAAAAAACCCAACAGCAATAACAATGATACAAATGGAATATAAAACATAAACAAAGAGTGATGTGCAACGTGGCAGCTCACTGCCCTGGATGCCTCTCCCTAGCTTGGCTGCAGCTTGCTCAAATCATGTGCCTGTCCCCTGAGCAACCCTCCTCTGATATAGCAGGCATGATGTCAGTATGGTATTGAAGAGTCCATTGGCTGGTTTGCTGGGCTAGCCTGGCCCCTCCCAGCTCCTTGTGAAAATTAACCCTATCCTAACAAAACCAGGACAATCTGGTAAGGTAGGATTGGAACTGGGGAAAAAGAAAGAAAAAAGAAAATAAAAAAGAGTGCTGGTCTGTTTCCTGTAAAATAATTAGTTTCCTTAATATTTTATGATTTAAATACAGTTTCTAAAAATAGAATTATGTCTGTCCCTGATATGAATATTGTAAGAAAACAAGTACAATGTCATGTAGTGACGTCAATCTTCTGGAAGAAGTATTAGCAATCAGTACTTTTGTTAAAGGGTGACACCAGGAAGGTAATTATTTGCTCTATGTCATCCTGACCTTTTGTTCAGTCTCTGTTTAGTGTATTACTATAAAAGTCCCTTTCTTTGTCCCTCTTTGCAGCTAAACATGACATTCCACTTGTTCATTGTGGCACTGGCTGGAGCTGGAGCAGCAGTCATTGCTATGGTAAGCCACCCAAGACTCTGACCTTCTGTTGGCATCTGAATTGCTAGCACATTCTGGTTGTTACTTTGTGTCAGGTATTCAATTTCCACACCATCACTCAATGCTATTACTAAAATATAAGTGTGTAATTCAATACTCTCTCTTATCTTTTTTAATTTTTTTAATATATTGATGGATTCCCTTTGAAGTAGAATATCATGACTATTTCTTTGAAAAATTACATACCTTTAAGTCCATGCTAGGAATTTTTACTCTTCTCTTGCTGTGTTCAGACGAGTGTCTGAACTCATGTGTCTGTCTCAAGACCATAGTAATATCCTTTTATGATCTATGCCTTTCTGGGTATTCACAGGCTTGTCATGGTGCTATTTTAGGAGCAGACTTTTTTTGTCAGTTCTGTGCATACAAGTGAATGCAACAATTTTTCTGTCAGGGCTCTTTTTGCCTTTTTTTTTTCTTTTTGTATAATGAAGATTGCTTTGATTTCAGTGACATATTGCCAATGAGAATGTTCCATGGAGAAAAAAAATGTATGAGTTAGTACCCTGCTTTTCTGCCTTTTATCTGCTGTGTCTGCTTAAGCATAAAGATATTTTTAGAGTGAGGATTCTGTGCCAGTGTAGGTTTGTATAGTACATGCTTGAATTGGAAATGAAAAATGACTGTTACTTAGTACTGATGCATTCCATTAAGAAAGTGTTAGTGATGGTGATTACTATTACTATTGCTACTAGTAAATTTTTATCAAATCCTAGCACCATAAATTTTTTTGCTCTCCTTAGAATTACATTTATATAAAAGGACAATCAGAGACTATTCAATGAAACTAGTATTCTGGAGGCTTTAGTGATTTTTTTAATTCTTCTCTGTCATTTTTTTAGCATTGCAGGACACTTTGACCACACAGTAGAGATTGCTAAATCAAAAAATAATATTTTTCTATGTACTTTTTTGTTTCAAGAACACAAATAATAATAGTAGAATAGAATTTATATTAATAATTTAATTGTTTTTCCAAACTGATACCTTTCTGCTTCCACCTGAAAAAATGGTGACTGACTAGTGATGATTATAATAGATAGACAGATTGATTGATTAATTAGTAGTGGGGAAGCATTTCCAATAAACCCTTAGTTTTCCATGGACACAGTAATCAGTGGATTACTGTTTTGAAGTATATTCAGTAGAAATTAACAAAAGCTAATTTGTTCTAGTAACAATTGTGCATTTTTAAGAACAGTTTTGAATCAGAATTGCCAACAAAAGATTTTCAGTGAAAACAAATACATCCTCAGTGGAAGCAAATCAAGTAGGGCACATTGAACCACATAGTTTAAGTACATGATACTTTTAAGAAAATTGAAAAAAACCCCTTCAGATCTCACCATACCATAATGAAGATGCCATTGATGTGTTTACACTAAGCACTAATCCATTAGGGATTCACTTTGATGTGAATATATTCACATATTTTTGGATGGTTAACCTTATCTAAGTATGTTTTTATTTGATTCTGTGACTGCACAGAGCAGGTGTGATAACACTGACAGTTCCAGTAGAAATATAAGTTAAGGATCTAAGTTCTAGTAAATAGTGTAGCATCCAAATGCTGGTAAATGTACGTTTTATGAAATATTTACAGCCGTGCTGTATATATTTAAGTTTTGTAATTAAACTGTTTGGTTTTAACCTAGCATTGTGATAGGCTAGGTACCTGGTGAAGAGTAACACATTCCACTCTTTGATGGGGGTAGTTTCTAAAACTGACATACCAGACCACATTTCTAGCTTGAGCAGTATGCTTCACACTTGACACAGTAGCCCAAAGACCAGGGACAGGGCATGAGGGCAAATTCAGAAATTTGTGGTTGGATACACAGATATTAACAGAGTCTCTTTCTTTAATGGAAGTTTGTTTTCCCAAAGAAGGAGTAATTTAAGGGAGGGAAAATGAATTTCGAGTCCTAAATGTCTCATATAAGAAGAAGTAAACATCTTTTTTTCTCAGATCTACACTCAAATTATTAGAAGGTGGTAAGCTATCAGCAGTGTGCTGAGGTGAAGAACAAAGTGTACAGAAGCCATTTAAGGTACTGAAGAATCAGTGCCCTTCCGTATACATGCTGGTGTAAGAATAATCACAAATACAATTTAATGAAGTTAATCTTGCTATCATCCACAACAGCAGCATATCTCCATGTCTGTGAAATTTAACAAGACTTAACAGTAAAATGAGATTTAAACATTAGTTTCTTACAAAAGAGAAAACGTATTGATTGCACTTTAAAAACATTTATTGCAGTTACTTTAAACTAGAATAGTCCATCTGACTGAAGTAGTTAGTATTTTGTGTCTATTACTAGCCAGTAATAATAGTTCATGATCAGTGATACTGATGAATAGCTGAACTGGTAAAATCTACTCTTTTTAAATGACATTTTAAGTCATGACATTGGTATACACTACTATATCCTCACTTCTGGATTTATGGACATTTACAAGCGTCAGATTATTTAATACATGCAGACTTCTTTAACTTTTTAATGTCAATATTTGTAATGAAATTCACCAAAGAAATTGGCTTGTTCATAAATAGTCAGACCCTCTGTCACCAGAATGCTTTACACAAAATTGTATTGAATTTTTTTTTTTTTAATATAGTCATTTATTTCAAAAACCACAAAACAAATTTGTTCATACTTCCAAAACCATTTAGTCACAAGTCACAATTTTCACATGCTTTCTACTTTAACGACTTTTTTGGTCTCAGATTTTTATATGATTGTTAGAAATTTTTCACAATTCATTAGCTGCCTTTCAGTCTCCAAAGGACAATGCTAGTTTGGTGTTCAAAAACAGAATTGTCTTTATACGTTAGGATTGATGTATAGAAATACTTGTGGTTTTTACAGTGTATGTCAGGGAAAGCTTTATTTTGCAGAGAAGGAAAATGTTGTTTTGAAAATTTATCATTCTTAGACTTCAGTCCAAGATAAAAAAACAAAAAAACAAAAAACAAACTGTTGGAATTATTTATATTGTAGATGCTGTTTCTCAGTCTCGAGTGCAGGAAAAATAGCCAAGGTTTTGATTCATGTTTAATTTGAACTATATAGGAGTCTGAATATCACTTTTCTTAGGTCTGAATGGGTAATAAATGGATATAGAAATAATCATTGAAGTAATACATGTTAGTTTTACTTTGGTCAAGGTTATGTCAGCTAGAAAGAGAAGGTGCAATATGGTTTAAATGTAATCTCTACCATCCTGAAGGGTTGATTGTAAAGCTAGTAATCATCGTGCCTATGATGTTTTCCCAAAGCCACGACAGCAAAACTGAATTATGAGACATACTGTTTCCCCTCTCAAAAGTTACCATGTGAGTAGTAGTCTTCTGCCAGCACTTCCACAGAAGTTAAGTCTTGTAATAGAGAGATGAAATCAATTCTCCTGAAACAAGCGCAAGGGAAATGTGTAAGACTCTCTCCCCCAGTATGATTCTGTTCTGCAGGATATTAACTGCATGTAAGGGGAGGAAAAGAGTTATTGAGACTTCTGCCCTGCTGAGAGAATGACATGTCCCAAAAGGGAATGGAAGACAAAAATAACCAAACCCCTTCCTAGGTTAGATGCAAGTCTACAGTTTTGAAAGTTTGAAGCATACTTTCACCTTATGAAGAAACCTAATCAGGAATGTTTCATTGGTATGGAAAGACCCTGCACTGTCTTGCATATGTCTGCAATTGAAACATCCTGAGGCAGACTGTGGAAGCTGCCCTACTTCAATTTGAATAAGTCTTGATGGGGCCTCACTGGCTTCAGGATATTCACGGCATGGAAGTGTGAAATGCAATTAGACAGCCACTTAGAGATGACCTCCTTAGTGTGACAATGTTATCTAGGAACTTTGTGTTAAACAAAAAAAAAAACAAAGGTGGTGGGACTGTTAAATATATATGTCATTATATAACATGGATATGTATTTGAGATTATATTAATTATAGAAGCTAAAGTAGTTGTTTCCAGGAAAGTCATCATACTTATGATGAACTCCAAGTATTTTCAACAGTTACTCCAGAAGTTCAGTTCTGAACTTTTTAAGGAAGGGATGGGTGAAGAATTGGACTTTAATGAAGGTCAGACAGTGGACAATATACCTACAGAATAGTTTCTTACTTTTTTAGGAGAAGAAAAATGCCAAGTGAAACTGCAAGACATTAGGTTTAAATTTGTCTCTAACACATCATTATCAAGTATTTTGTGAGAATATGAAATGTGCCTAAATGATCACATTTTCATCATGTTGCAAGGTTTCTCATATTTACAATCTGTTTAAGGTTGAAATTGTATTTCTTAATCAAAATCTCAGCTTAAAAGGAGCACAGATGTTTTCATTAGATGCAGACTGTAATTCTCTGAGATGACAGAATTATTAGGAATATTAGCCTTTCTTTTGATTTTTCTGAAGAGTTTTACTTTTGGAGGAAATCTACATCATTTCATTCAGCAGAATGGGAATTCAGCACTAGTGTCTCACATTTGATCTAAAAAATGCCTGATCCAGAGATTACTCATGGTGAAGGTTTTTGGAACAGCTGAGTTAAATACAAGGCTTTTCTTTTTCCTGTGCTAAATTATGACCAGAAAGTGTCCCAGAGCAACACCATCTGCTGCCATCTCCAGCATTTGCACTATGATCACAGGTTGTGCTGCTGGTGCTGTACTATAGATATAAGAAACCTCCTAATGATATGTAGAAATACTATTATCTGCAGTCTTTTTCCTAGAGGACAGACTCTCTAAACAATTTTTCCTATGTTATACCTCCTCAACTTGGTTTGTATTCTTCAAATAGGGATTAAATGGCTGAAAACTTGACACAAAGCATCAGGACAAAAATATTTGCTCCTTTGAAGCATTTCGGAATGCTTTCATTGATTTTAATTATCCAGATTAAGAAATGTATGTTAGCCTGCACTAATCAGCAACAGCAAAATATTCCACCAAATATTTGTGGAAAAAAAGCCCAAAACATTGGCACTTCCAATAATAAAAGAACACACTAAATTGGTTATTTATGTTCATTTAACATGAATCCAAAATACCTGTGTATCTACAGCAGTCCAATATGAACAGGAGAACTTGCATAATCTCCAGGTGTTTTGATCAGTACTCTATTCTACTTTCTACTGATTGAATCCTAGTTTAGTTTCTCGATTTCTTAGGGAGGGGTGGAATCTTTTTGATTTCAGGAAGTTATCTGTGGCCGCTGAGAAAGTTCATTAAGAAATATAACAGATGCTCTCATCAAAAAGTATCTGAAATCTTACTAGGGGAGGAATAAATGTCCAGAGAGTCCTACAATAAACCAGTTGAATTAATAAACATTTTTATTTTCTGGCTGAATACAGAGCCAAGAGAGCACATCCTAAGGTGAGAGGGAGGCAAGTTTTGAGAAAGTCAGAGGCTCCTTGCAAGAAGGTCTAGCAGATTGAAGATAGGACATTTGAGATCCACCTTCAAAAGGAAAGCCTTCAAAGCCTTCAGATGTCCTGAAAGGCCCAGATTTGGGAAGCTGAAATGGACAGGAGAGCAGTTCATTGCTCTACTCAGAAGCTGAAGTAGACTTTTCACTATAGATGGCCACAAGTGTGAAGAATAAGCAAACTAACTCTAAAAGAGACTTCCACAAGTGTGAAGAATAAGCAAACTAAAAGAGACTGCAGGCAGATAGTATGGGAATGCTTCTGAAGGGGGAGTTTTGAATAGAGTAGTTTTGGTGCAGTTCTTTGGAGGCCTCAGCTTCCTTCCTTGTATTGGCATTGTGTTAAAATATGTCACTTGTTTGACCATTCATTGCCACCATTTAGAAGATTTGACTTCTACCTGTTGTTGAGCTCAGTCCCTGGCAGCCCTAGCACGTGATTCAGATTAAATTTATTCAAAGCCATGTGAAAAATATTTTTTCATGTGACAATATTGTCAATATCCTTTCTCTGGTGTTAATCCTCAGATGTATTCATAGACATTGTGTCCTCCCCATTTGCTAATACATATAAACCAAGTTCTTTAGGTATTTTTACACATTCAAAAATTTACATGGAAGATGAACTTTGTTTCTGCTCCATTCAAAATGTATACGGAAGTGGCCTTAAAATCATACAAATCACTTCTTAATTTTATATGCATTTTAAAGTATTACATAAATAAGTTGTGGTATAACTAATAGTGAAATAAAACTACTAAATTAAATAGTGCCAAGTGTGTGCTCCTTTTAAGACCTCAAGTTTATTTGTGACTGTTTTATCACATTTTGCCTAGCTGAACACATTTTTCGATTTTTGATTATTTTTTTCCCAGATTAACTGGTTTTGGTGAAATAACTGGAGTTGTGTGTGGAAGAAAGTAGTCATGGCTAAATGGAAAGCTAACGTTAACTTTATCAAGAAAGGAAAATCAAATCTTTCTGTAATTGTATTAGATATATAATCATAAGAATACAGATATCTACAGCACATTTCTGTCATTAGCAACTACTTTAACAATTAGGATTCAATGGGGAAAAGTCTGCAAGAAGTAACCAAAACACATTTTTTTTCACGTAGATTTGCAGATTAGCTGAAATAGTAAAGCAGGCATGATTTGCTGTTGTTTTTTAATTGTTTTAGGGTTTATTTTTATAACCATTGCTACCAACTCCTAGTCATGGTAATAGTAACAGCTCTGAACTCAGTAATCTGAGGAGCAACGAAGCTCAAGCTTGAACTTCACATTGTGTTGCTGTACTGCTTCTTGACTTAACACTAAGATTCTTCTGATGGAAACCCAGTCTCTGTCCTATAGCTATCAAGCTTGAACTTGTTCTATTCTGCTTAGGTCTGTTGGTTCCTAATTCTGTGTTACCTCTCTTGCAGGTCCATTATCTCATGGTCTTGTCTGCCAACTGGGCCTATGTGAAAGATGCTTGCAGAATGCAAAAGTATGAGGATATTAAATCAAAGGAGGAACAGGAGCTTCATGATATTCATTCTACTCGATCTAAAGAGCGGCTCAATGCTTACACATAAAAGAAACCTTGTCTTACTTTTAACATGTGAATGCTTTGTTGTTTAACTAAAGGCCATTCAATCATTTTTAAAACAATTGAAAGTGCTTCTCACAAAAGATGGTTTGGGTGACTTACTATCACCCACATACAATTCTTGGTTGTCTAGCACTTGGTTTCTTAATTGGTTCTTACTTTGTGTGACCATTCTCTACCACAAAGCTCCTAAATAGCCTTTTGAATCCTTTTATGCTAATTAGTTCTGCTAGATCAAGGATACTAAACTATTGTCAAATACAAATATGTGTTTGATTTTTTTAATCACTTTGTATGTGTTATGCATAACACCTTTCGCATTGTTTCTTATATGTTTTTGGAAAAAGTAGCTTTTTATACTTTTTAGTTTTGAGTTCAATAACTACTTTAACTACAGGTATACTTCAAAGGGACCATTGTACATGGTGTACAATATATGAAGAAAACATTCAGATGACTTTCCTTTATATTTGGAAAACTGCCAGAGGGACCCTGATCAATGTTAATGAAGGTCCTAAGAACGTTTTAAACAATCAAAGGTGCAATTTCTAAATTTGTAATAGTGGGTAAAAAAAAAAAAAAAAAAAAAAAAAAAAAAAGGAAAAAAAAAAAAAAAGAAAAAAGTGCTTCTTATCTTTGTTAACATTGTATTATTATTGATGTTTTTAAAGAATATTCTCTTGTTCCAAGTTCCATGGGTGATAATTCCTGTTTGTATTGTGAGCATGCAGACCGTGGTGCTAACAATGCATGGCCACTTGCCTTTTGGAGGAATTCAATACCACGGCTACCTGTTAAAGAGTTATGGTATATAGACAATTGTTAATTAAGTGATATAGTTATCCATAGTTTTTTACAGAATGATCTCTCTTTAATTCAATGATGGTTCTGCTAAATTGGAGCTGTTCATGTGATGATGTAAGAAATTACCGCTTAGCTACATTTATGAAAGTAATATATCAAAAATACAGTGACTGTAGGAGTCAGATGTCTTTTTACCTGCTTTAAAAATTTAAATGGATTGCACCTGTCTGAACTGTACAAGATATATTAAAGGAGACTTCCATAAATGTTATAGCTTGGCTTCTAGCTTTCCTACACATATTGGTTTACCTGTATTACGTTAAAGTAAGGTGAAAGACCATACAGAGCTTATTATTTGAAAGTGTAGTAATATATTTGAACTTTTATTTTGATAGGAAAATGTTATCAGAAAGATAGGTCATCTTAATTTGAAAGAATTACCTGTGTCAAAAACAAAACAAAAAACCCTATTTAAGAAAAGTCAGTATTATTGGACCAAATTTGGTGGATTTTTTTATTTTTTTTAATTTTTTTTTGCCTATTTCTAATGCTACAAGAATGCTGTAAAGTGTCTTTTAAAGTGATGTAGCCTGACAAGACATTTTTGTCAGTGTTAAAAATCTTAGGTAGTTTTGTGCACTTATTGAACCATTGTGAATTCTCTCAGTGTAAGTGCATTTCTAATAAAACTTCTTGAGTAAAACTCTCCTTTGTACTATTACTAGTCATGCATCATCAGTAATTTTTAACAATTCTTGTAGTAAGTAGAGGGTAATACTATAGTTACTTGTGGCATGATAATGCATTAAGTAGTATTAGTTGACTGAATTTTTCTTTTCTTTTTCTTTTCTTTCGCTTGTTTTGGGGGTTTTTTGGTTGTGTTTTTGATTTGGGGTTTTGGGTTGGCTTTTTTTTTGTTTGGGTTTTTTTTTTTTTTACACTTAAGCTGTCCTACGGGGTCAACAGTTTTCTGATAATGTGCAGTACCAGTATTACAGTTCTGCAAAAAGTATTAGGAACCTCTTTTGAATTCTATATTGTAGTGTTTCAGTTTTGTGTCTTAAAACGTTTGTGCTGATTTTTAAAACTATGTCTTTTAAACTCATGTAATGATGTTAATGCTTTTGGCTCTCCTCTGGTATTAGAGTTTGTATTTTCACAAAGAATGCTTTGTAGCAGGCATTACAATTAATCTGTTTTGTACATAAATGTGCCAACAGCTTGATGGTGGCGTTTTTGAAATGTAGAACAAAGTGCTTGCAAAAATGTAATAAACACACTTGTGTACTTTGTGTACTTATTAATAAGTCTTCGTGTTGTGTAGTTTTTTCTTTGTCTACACTGGACAGATCATTACAACCAGAAATGGACGAAGCTTATTCCTTCTATTGTCCTTACTATTGGAGGACTATTTTCAATATTATGCTTTTTTTGTACAATCACTTTTAGATGTCCAAGGAGATAGCTGCTTTAGCAGAAATTATGAGAACAAAAAGTGAAACAAAAAATAGTGACCTAGAGATTTCACATGAATTAGAGAATATGTCTTTATCAAGATAATCTGTGACCAAAAAATGTTATTGTGATGAATAATTAAAAAGAAAAATAAAAAACCCAAACTTTGAAGAGTAATATTCTTATCCCTTTTCATGACACAATTCCCTCTGGCCTGTACCTTGACAAATGACACAATTCCCTCTGGCCTGTACCTTGACAAATGACACATAGGTGAAAACTACAGTGTACAGCCTTTCCATGGTTAGAAATTATGCTTCAGTTTGGGGTAGTTTATTCCACTGAATTAAAACTCCCGGTCACTGCCCACACACAGATTTCTTCAACTATGTCTCTTAATCAGCATTTAGTGTCAGAAAACATATATCCTCAGCATAAGATTAAAATAATTTTGAAGAGCAGAATTTCATAGTTTAGGAAGAGCCAGATAGCATGAGCCATGCTTGTTATATTTTTAACAGGTCAGCCAAGTGAACAACTGGGCAAGAATCACATTACTGCAGTGTCATTTGGAACACCTAAACAGAAGCTGATCTGACAGTGGTTTGGATGTTGCTGAGGATACTGATACCTGGGTGCTACAAGTAGCCAATACTTTAAAACAGTACTGCGTTACTTATGTGCCTGTTAACATGGTATCACTAAGAAAAATTCATTAAAATGCAATTTGACAATTTTTTTTTCCTCTGTTAACTAACTGTTGTATAGCTTTTCATACTCCTGATGGACACGTGCCATAATGGCCAAACAGTTCTGCAGCAGCAGCAGCACAAGCCAAGGGAGTAGAGGAGCTTCTCACTGCACATCAGTCAGCACTGATTCATTTCAACATCTGACCATATTTGGTTTATTCCAGAATCTTTTCTATTAGTTAACAGCCTAAGCTGATTTTTCGTGGGGTAGGTTGCATGGGTCATGATTTCTATAGACTCTTGTGGGCTTAGTATAAACGTCTGACTATTGTGCATTGCAGAAACAAGAAAATCAATTGTAGATCAATCTCGTGCAGGTTTGTGTTTTTATTTTTGTTTGGTTTATTTTTTTTGTTTGTTTGTTTAGTTGTTTTTTTTTTTCTTTTTGTTGTGCAAAGGATGTAGTTAGATTAAAATGCCAGTTTAAGAAATTTCCAGCCCTAGATCCTCAGTTTTGCATTTTCTTCACAGTTTACTATGCCCCATCGGTAGTGGGGCATGTTACAAAACAGATCCAAAAACTGCTTGAATTAGATATCTT